ATATATATAAAAAAAAATGTTCATACTGACACACAACTCTTGACCACCTCTCTTTTAACGAGCAACTTTTACAATTGGCCACATCATCTGTAACTTCTTTTACAATTGTGAAGAATATGAGAGCAAAAAAAAAAAAAAATAGTGGTGAAAAAAAAAAACATCCCGAAATGAAAAGTATTTCCCATCCCACATCATTCCGCCCTGCTCCGAGTCAAGAATTTCCCCGTTCCCAAAGCGACTGGCTGACTGCTTCCCAAAGGCGTCTTTTGCGCACCACCGTTCAGCGCGACCATTTAACAGACGGGCAGATCAATCCAGCGCAGGGTGATTTCCACGGTGTAAAAGGAGCCCCACCTGTTGAGTCCGACTTACGACCCCAGAGGAATAGGCCGTGTCGAGGCTGGCGTCCAACCACGCTGGAGCGGAGCCATCCCAGCCCAGAGCAACGCTGACATTTTCAATCAGAGCCCGACCACCCGCCACGAGAAAAAAATCCGAGTACAACGACAGCGTTTGTCACAATATATGCCAGCATCCATCCAGGGATTTTTCGGTCAAGCAAGAATTTCTCAAGACAATAAGATTTGGGTTTGCATCTCCGTCAGGACAGCTCAGTGCGGGATTTCTCCGGGTACTCTTTTCCCTCACACATCCGCAAAACATACTTGTTGCGCAAAGTGAGGGCTCTAAATTGTCCGCGGGTGTGAATGCGTAAAAGTTTGTCCCGTCACGAAACGCTATGTTATCTTATGCTGTGAAAAGTCCATCCCCTGTTTCTTTGTATCTTGACTTTTGGACTGGTCATTCCTGATTGTTCCATCTTCTTCCCGTACTTTGAGTTTTCCCCTTTTCCCTAGTCGATATTTTTTTTTCCTCCAAGATTACTCCTGTTCCACTGCCTCGTCTCTCGTCCTTCTCTGCATTGGGTTCGACTTTTGGAATTGGTCACTTTTTGAATGCCGGAAACACTCACCAAAGTCTCCCGGTGAAACTGTTTGTCTTTTAAAGGTTCTTGGTGAATGTCAGTCTTTGCATACAACCTATATTTCCGATCAGAAGGTGGTCCAGTCGCGACGTATACCGATGATTCGTCTGACCTCATGCTTCCGACTCCTCAAATTCCACTCAAGCGTTGAAAAATAATCTGCACAAATGACATTACGATCTCGTAAATAGAAGGGAAAGTCTTGCCGATTTGAAGTTGGACTGGCGCGGGTGGCCGATATTATCGTGGGGAATAAATTTTAGCAAATCTGTACGGAATATAGTGAGGGGCAGAAGGGAGAAGCAGTCGGACCGGGCGGTGATAAAATTAGCGCTGATGTCTTCCCGTGTAACAGGAGAGACGGCGGCCTGCGAACATCCAGAAAATCTAAGGCCTGGCACATTCCGCGATATAAATAACGAGAGAGTCGGTGGACGCGGGGGCAGCCAGTAGAGACGTTTTGGAAGTGCGAGAGAGCGAGAGAGAAATGTTTAGGCAGCGCGGTTGAGTGATGGGACAGCTGTCGAGCACGAACACGGCAAATCAGCCGGATATTCGCTCAAACTTGAGGGTTAAAGTGGAGGAAACTTTTGAGACCGATTGTCCGACCTTATTTCCAAAGTGGGGGCTCGCCGAGGACTTCGCTCGAATTGTTGTTGCATCACTCACAAGCAAAAAGAAAACGAATGGCACGATGTTGGGAGCCTTGACCACTGATACTGAGCTGCGCGTTTGCAGCGTGCGATCTTTGCCTTGCCGGCTTATAATGGGATGAAATCGCTGCTTTGGTGTGAATGTCAGAGTGAGGTGTTGTTTGTTGAGATGTGACGTGCAATTGACTGGTGACCGGACCAGAGTGAATGCCGCTTCTCACTCGACAAAACAAACTTATAAAATTGTCTATCGATGTCAATGTACGCTAAGTGTGAATGACGGTAGTTTGTCTGTATGCGTCCAGCAACGGAGTGATGACCAGTCCAAGAATAGGAGAGCTCGGACTCACACCCCAAATTCCTGTTGCTTCATCTATGGATTGCAAAATTGGGCTGGAAAAGTTTTTCTTTTTCATTTAAAATGGCTTCCCTTCACGAGAAACCTGCATCGCGCTGTGGCCAAAAAAAATTGATCACATTGCAAGAACTCTGTGAGAGATGTGAATTATGACTGATCATTTTATATTTGGATTGCTTTGCAACAATATTCTTTTTTTTTTTTGCCAATAGCGTTGGATCAATTGCAAAGAGCATCAACTTCACATATGCCGGACTTTTTCTACAGCACCCAGGACATCGTCACTCCTGGTTTTACTTATCACTGCTAGCAGAATTAGATCATTTTTTTGCATTCGGAAAAATTGTGTTTTTGAATCATTCGGGATTGTCAAAGGCAAAATCCGATTGGATGTTAAAAATCTGTTTCTCGCTGCTTCACAGAAAAACGAAAGATTTCAGAGTCAACGTTGCTCTTTTGGCTTTTGTCATGATGTCACTGCCAAGCTTGGCCCGATCAGCAAAATATCTTAGGAAGTGCGGCACTAAATTCCGTTTTTGCGACAGTGTCAGAGCTGCTGCTTTGATAAATGACTTGGCCTGGACAAAAGTGCCCGGCGTGTATCAGCTCCAGCACTTTGTTGATGTTCTGCAGCGCTCAGCATGACTTTGTAAAAGAGATTCACTTTTCAAATGAGCCGTGCTTTTCCTGCTGAGAGGCTCGATGACAAACGCCTTGGCCAGACCCGACGCTGACGAACACTTCAATCAGCTAAGATTGGGCATTGAGAAAAGAACGAGCGACGGTGGATGTCGGGGCTTTTCAAACTTTTTGGCCCTTACGGGGCAGGATTTTGTCCGAGGACCCCCTCAGAATCCGAACGCCTTCCAGATTGACGTGTTGCGTCACAACATGTGAACGGCTTGCGATCTTTGGCCCGGGAACCCCAGTTTGAGAACCGGCGCTTCATATGATCTAAACACAGAAAGCCGTTCCCGTTACGAGTGATCGGAATGCCGGAAGGAATGGTATCTGCCAGGAGCGTCCGCATGAATGCGTGTCTGCCCCCCATGCCACTGGACATTTATGCCAGCGTACTTTTCAGTTCGACATCGTTTCTAACAGATCAGTTGCACTGATGGTTTTGCATGAAACTATCGCCGTGATCAAACAAAAGAGGAAAAGCTTCAAAAGCAAAGACACCAAGTAGTGGTCGTCGTCCTCGTCATAGGAGAGACGACTCGCCGATATTCTCAAGCGCGTTTCTCCGAATGAAAAGATTCCCAGCAGGACCACCCAAAAAATCCTGAGCGCCCCCTGAAAGTGAAGCGGACGCCGAGGTATCCTGGATGGTTGGTACGCGTCCCTCCGTGCTCCAACACACCTGATTCAAATGTTCAGGATGGTTATCCAGCTTCTGCGGAGCTTGCTGATGGGCTGACCGTTTGAATCGGGTGAGTCGGAGCAGGGAGGCATACCAAAAATCCGGAATACCGGCTCTCGGGGAACCGGAATTTGCCCACCTGTGGTTTAGTCAAACTACTCCAAATTGGTCGCAAGGGCCCATGTCTGAAAAATGCAACAGGATGCCAAGCAGCCATTTTGAGCAAATTTCAGGGCTGAGCAATTGACTTTGGGAATTTGTCCAATGGGAAATCGGGCACGGATGGGCAATCCCAAAATGTGAAAATTTCAAGCCCATGTGAAAAATTGACCTTTCTGAGGATTCTCAGCAAATCTGAACTGCCGACAACGGTTTTGCCGAGGAACATGGAATCGGGGACGGGCCCGTCCGTCATGACACGCAAACGTCTCGAGAAGCCATGACCACAATGGATCAGGTGGTCAGCCATTGTCGTCTGGCCATCCCCTGAATACCGAAGGTGGCCACGGTATGTTTAATCGCTTCGGCCACACAGTAAAATCTCGACTTCCCGCGGCGAGACTGTCATGAACAACAAGGATGACACGACGGTTGCACTAATCTTACACGTGTGGCTCACCTTCACCCAGATCCAAGACGGCTAGCACAGCACTGCTGCGGGCCTCTCCCAGGTGGTTATTCGCGATGCAGGTGTACAGGCCGGCATCGCCGGGCTTGCAATCCCGAATCCAGAGGCCTCCGTACTCCTGGTTTTCCATGTTGAGGAGCTCGTCATTGTGGTACCAGTACAGCGAAGGCTGGGGGTCTCCGCAAACGGTCACCTTGAGCCGGATGTCACAGCCCGTCCCGACGGCGGCATTCCGCATCTTGCGCGTGAAAATCGGCGGAGTCGGGCTGGGAAGGGCGGGTCCTCGGGGCTCGGCGAGCGTTCGCTCCGGGCTGACTTTGGAGCGTTTGGGTGGCACGACGGCACTCGGTGGGGCTTCACCCACCTCCTTCTTTGGGGACGCGTCCCCTACCGATTTTTTCATTCTTACTGTTATCGAGTGATTGTATGGCTAGGGCACAAATTAAATCACCTGATGTCACATTTTTGAATTTCAAGATCCTTCAAGTCTCTCAGATGCCCTTGGTGCTGAAGTAAAGCCCAAAAGGTTACCTGGTGATTGAGGAGAAGGAGCTCGGTGCCAGTCTCTGACACAGGGGTATATTTAGTGCGAGACCCCTTGGATCACGTTGCAATAACAACGCCTTTGACTCGTGTCTCTTGAAAGTGACGACTGTGGCCTTTTTTTCTTCTTGCCCCGTTCTCGAGCTCTCAGTCACCATTCCCAGCGAATGTGACTCTTCTCTGCGTTTTCCTTTGATAGGCTGCAAGTCCCGCTTGGTTTCTGCTGCTGAGTGTCAAGCCACCGTCCCGTGGCTTGGACAGCGACCCCCGCCTTCCTTTTCCCATGAGCTAATGCACCCCATGCGTACCCTCCCCCCATCCCACCACCACTGCCGCCTCCACCACCTCCGCTGCCGCCGCTGCCGCCACCGCCACCGCCGCCTGTTTGGAGGGGCAAATCACAAACGTGGGCCCAGCAAGCCTGACAATGGCAGCTGCCACCGGCAAAGGGCCCCACCCCCTTTGTCATTTTTAGCCAGCCCGGGGTCAGTCGATCATGGGAGGTGGTGCGACAAGCCAAACTTGGCAGAACGCAGGGTGGTGCATGGGTACAGGACAGCTATCGCATTTAAGAGGTTATGAAATGGGAAAGTATGACTGTTGTAGGCTCATCGTAATTTTGAGACCAGTTTAAAAACAAACTGGGAAAGTGCACAAATAATAATGGACTTCAGTCTTTTTCCATTGAAATCAATGGAAATCCAATCCATCTGTTATGGCCCATTATGGCCTAAAAAACAAACAAACAAACCAAACATTGGTGTTTGTGTTTTTTAAAATCAATTTCTGTAAGTGGCTCAGTGACTTTCTGTAATTATTTTTCATAGAGGATAAACAACATATGGCCCGTTGCCTTATTATCTGCCTACATGTGTTGCTCCACTGTTTGTGTTCCAACATCCTTCGCTTCTAAAATCATAAAGATACACTACATGCTAACCATTAGCGTGTGCACGGCATTTTTGCATCGTTTTTAGCATTCAACTCCGCAGGCTTGTCAGAGTAACATTTCAGTCATTTGAGACGCTGAACGCAAAGGCGGTCACGAGTAATTGAATTTGAAGTTCCAAAAGGAGAGAATCAAAGTCTCCTTTCGCCAGTGGATCAGAGACGCCATGCTCAAAATGTGCATGAAGTCCCTCCCGTCAGCTGCTGGCTAAGTGTGAACGTAAACGAGAAGCTGTCGCATCCTTTGACGATAAAAAAAAAAGTCGGTTCACCTCTCCCGTCAATTTTATATATGCTTCAATTCCAAGCGGCGACTCTCATCTCCAAATACGTGCAAACAACAAGGCGTATCCAGGAATAGTTGTGACGGTTGGATGACTGTCCATGTTTTACGTCGTGTTCTGTGATATTCTTTTGTTATTTTGTGTTAACTGCTCCGTAAAGCGCTTTGTGACAGCCGCACCTGTTGTGAAAGAGCCATATCAATAAAGTTGTCTTGTATTGTATTGTAAATAAAGGTTCGGCTCGTCACTCATGGTTCAGTACATGCAGTTGAACATTAGGGGGCAATAGAATGCCTTGGATGTTCATCGTCCCCGTCGATGTCCGGTGCATTAAAACGTAAAATGCAAAAGTACCCTATTTCAGCACCAAGTTAAAAAAAAAAGGGAAAAAGGAAAGAGAGCTCATTTTGTATTGAGGTGGTACAAAACATCCTGTTTTGTCATCATGTTGACATGCGTTCGCGTGTTGCAAAACTTGAGAAACATTTTCTCACGTTTTCTCTCCCAACTCGTGAACGGAAGGAGGGTGATGTCGGTTGGCACTTTGTACTCTTTCTACGTTTGCATCATCCCGTGCGTTTGTTCAAACTGAGCCGCCAAAGAGGCCGCCGTTTAACGAGGGCTTTTTTTTTATGCCCACACCACCTTTGATAACCGAATTCTGAGCTCTACTACAGAGGTTAAATTGTGTAGAAATGTCATCGGGATCTTGTTGGATGTCACTGGACTGGTCTTAAAAGGAGGCGTACAATGCATTTGACTGGTTTTGGGCTTTCTGCTGTCTTTGTTATCAATGTATTGTTTTATTGTTTGTCGTATGAATGATTTTTGCTCCATGTACAGCACTTTGTGTACAGTGGTGGTGGTTTTAAAGTGCTCTAGAAATACAGTTGAGTTCAGCTTTAGTTACCATGACGACCTGGGAGAGCTTTTCCAAGCAAACTTGCAACAAATCTTGTGACGTTTTGGGGGACTTCTGGGGAGTCTTTCTGGAGAAGGTGTTCACGTCTCTGCATCTCTGCGTCCAGACTGCAAGTGAATGTCACGTGCGCAAAGGCACCAATGGATAATTTAATCATATCTCTCCCACCCCAGCATGATATGAACACCCAGAAAGATTTTTGATTCCCCGTGTGGAGGAACCTTGGTTTCATGGTCACGATCAGGATGACTTGGGTGTTCAATTTTTGCACAAGCAACAAGTTGTATCCAGGCACTTCAAAATTCAAAACCCAAGAAAGAATGTAAAAAAAAAAAAGGAGACGACAGAAATTGCGATCGCAGAATATTCACAAGTTTGTTGATTTCGACAAGTGTCCCTTCAGAGTTCTTTACATGAACGCGGACGTCATCTCGGACGAGAGCGAAGACCTGCTGGTCCTGGACACCGACGCTTTCTCCAGGACGCCCACCTTCCTCATCAGCTGCTGCAACCTCCTCCTGAACTTCTCTCCCACAAAAGCGTAGAGCACCGGGTTGACGCAGCTGTGCAGCAG